CAAGGGGTTTGCAGATGGGGAGATGGGGCTGTCACATTTGAGAATATTTGCAGTGGGCCTTAGAAAATTTTGGCATGAGGATCTTTGTAATTATTAGCCAAGATAGCCTGATTGAAACTTTGGTGAGTAACATGGGGCTTCTTTTACAGAAACCATCAGGGCAGGATCACAAACCAAATGTTAAGATGATCCGTGGAACTGAGGAGTGACATCTGGCCAAATGCTGCAGCTGAGTTAGATAGTGTGTTTTATCTTCAAGAAGTTCCAGGAAATGTCTTTCAAGAGGTCAGGGCTATCATTATCTCAAGCCTAGGTTCCTGTGGCTCTGAACACACTTGGGGCATCAGGAGGACAAGCTGCAGCTGCTTTGGGGCTGGAATGGTTACTCTGCTCAAGGCAAGTAGCACCCACTGACTTTTCTGTAGTGAGCTGTGTCATTTCATCCCATTGCATGTTCCTTAAGGATTTTCTGGAATGAGGGGGGAATTGCTCCTTACGGCCAAAAAAGCCATGGAGGCATTTATTGAGCAGATGAGGTCCAGAGGGGTATTCATCATAGATACAAGTGTTTCTATGGTGCTGAGTCCAAATACCTACCTGACTGTGGTCTTTGGATTAGCAGAGAACCTTTGATAGATTGGCAGGAACTTCTCCCACAAGGCTTACAGAGTTCCTGCTAGATTTAGACCTGTGACAGGTCTGACAGAGGCAGACAGCAGTCCCCTGGTGGCATGTGCATTTTTTTTTTTTTTTTTGTTCTTTAGACCGGCCAGCAGTTTCATAGAAAGACCCTTCTCTGTGAGATAGAGTGCACATGGATGGTTGAAAAGGTGTGTGTGTGTGTGTGTGTGTGTGTGTGTGTGTGTGTGTGTGTGTGGTGTCACCGACCTAGTGAGAACAGATAGCCCAATAAGTGGAGGAGTAATGTATCCTGGGAGGGGGTGGGCAGGAGAGCAGGTCACAGGCTGAGACAGGGCATGGCCTATGCCATGAGAAATAACACCTGGACTGAAGGTAGCACCATCATGACATCAACCATTTTGTGGTTCTCTCAAAGCTCAACAAAATCCCAGCTCCTTTCTGTGAGGGGCTTGGGATAAAATAAGGGTCACCTTGTCTCTATACTGACCCGACATCTATTACTATTTTAGCTCCATGTCTCAAACAAGATTTAAGAAATGCTAAGAAAAAACAAAGGCTGGTAGAAAAGAAGCCTTGATCTTATGAAAGTGTGGCCTGGACACATGTTTTGAAGATACATACCAGTCATTGAAATCCCACGTTCAGAATTACAGAGGTTCTGCCATTGCCTCTGAAGTTCTGAGGTAGTCTGCAGTGGAGCTGAGCTGTCACATTGCTCCCCAAAAGACCTACCCCAGGGTATGCACAAGGGCTGCCCAGAATCCTCTGATAGCTGGAAAGCCAGGTGGGCACTTGGAGCTGTGCATTTCCCTGGGTGATAGCGAGCCAGAGATACCCATCCCACAGATACTGTCCAGGCTTCCAGGCCCCTTTTAAGTATTAGCCTCACAGGCATGGTTCTGCCCATTCCTCCCCATCCCTGGCTCTGTGCTTTTACAGGGCATGGTTGCTTTCCTTCCTTGATGCAGACAAGACTCTCACCTCTGACTTTAACCATGCCGCTTCTAGAATATGCCAGCAAAGTCCACTATGCAGTATTGATGTTGGCTCACTTACTGTCTCTGTGTCCTCATAATAGCTCCAAAAACTTAAATGATCCTGGTTTAGGAGAAGAGGCATAGAGAGACCAAATAGCATGTCCCAGTTCTGGAACTCAGGTCTCTCAGTTCCCCCACGTTTGCTCTTTCCAGTCTCTTCTCTGTGCAGTCATGTGTTTAGCCTGTATCCTGGTACCCGATGCTTTAGAAATGCCCCCTGGTGTAGGGCTGAGACTGGCCATTCATGATATCCCAAGGGAAGGAGTTGCTACTTCTAACCTGTCCTTATTTTACATGATCAAGTTTCCTAAGTGTACCCATCCTTCTCTAGGGATTCTTGGAAATTGATTATTGCTTTACAATTTCCTAAATTCTGCATTCTTTCTGGAAAATCCTGATATATCCTCTATTTTTCATTTATTCAGAAAGCACTACTTCAGTGTATACACACACACACACACACACACACACACACACACACATGACTTCTTTGTACATCCCAGGTCCCCTCTAGAACTTTTAATGGTATCCAGGCACGTGGGTTAAGTGGGCAATCACAAGGTCACAGATGGTCATTTACGGTACTCTCTAATAGCAGTGGCCATTGTTTCACCTGACCACAAACAAGACCTCCAGCTAACTTCTTGAAAATGGTTATGAAGGCACAAAACCAGGAGGCTGGTGTCTGGCTTCCAGGTTCACCTCCAGCACAATTCCCTTCAACAGTCTCCCATGAGTACCTCTGGTTAGTTACCTAAAGGCAAACATTGCACATAGCTGCAAGGGAGTCTGGGGATTACAGTTTTACTCCTTCCAATTTATACACCCCTCTGTGTAGTCCTAGGCAGATAAATGCCCAGTTCCCAGTACTTATATTCTTGAAGACAGGGCAAGTCTTATCAATGTTGGACAGTGTCACTGCAGGGTGCTCTAGCATAAAAAGTGCCACTGAAAGATCTGGCTCTGAGATGTGGCAGATTATGTTTTAGGCACTGAAGGACTTCATGCAAACCACCCATGCCTTTAGCTTCAGATGACCTTGATTCTTAAAAAGACAGGAACTCGGGCAGAAACCCAGGTTCCCAGGGACTTTCTATCCTTACTAGCTTACTGGGCTTCCTGCTCATGATGGTCAAGGTTATGCTGGGAAATAAATAGCCCATCAGTGGTTTAAAATTAAGATGACTAGAGCTTGCTCATGCCCTCTGTAGCCTTTAGGTTGGGATGGGATTTTAGAGACACTCAGCGCTCTGGTTGACCAGGATGGGACTTAGCTTCCTTCACACTTACTCCCACATCCATATCTGATGACGCAGGGGAAAAAATGCAGGAACTGTAAAGGTGTTTTTGCAAGGTAGGGCAACGTGGCTTACACGATTACACAAACCAAAGTGAATCACACAGGCTGCCTAACGCCTGCAGTGTGGAATGCTCAATCCTCCCCTGGGCCAGAACAAAAGAACACAAACCTGGTGACAAGCACTCATCAAGAGCACTGGGTCCTTCATCTTTCCCTACGGCTCACTGCTCAGCTGGGATAGCTCATATTCCCCCATCTCTATTTATCTTTTCTTTTCTTCCGGCCACTGGTATTTTCAACTCTGAAGATACGGATACAATTTCCACTCAAAAGATGACGGATGAAAAAACTAACAGTCCCTCGAGGCAAAATTCCAATCATGCTTTCCCTCAAAAGTATCAGTGGTTCTGGGGCCATTATGATATGGTGGGCTGGGAATGCTGTGCTTGGATTTGTGTAACAATCCCACCTAACTTCCTTAGAGCAGACAGGAAAGAGAGGTCAAGAAGCTGGCTCTCGAAGGTTCCTTTTGCTTGCTACAGGCTTCCTCTGACCATGTCCTCCCTAATCTGAAGCCATTTCTGACTCTTGTGAGCCCTTTTGCTGCTTATACCCTGTTCCCACCCTCTCTCATGTTCCCTCATTATCAGTGTCTATATAAATGCCTCAGCTCTGCACTAGCTGTGAGCTCTCACCAGCTAGCAAGTTGATTTGGTCTAGAATTGTCCTTACTACACAGATGAACTGCTTAACCTATTTTCAAGGCTCAAGGAGTTGATCTGTGTATTTTTCCTGGAGGTCTTTCCTATGGGAAATGCTCAGTGTCTTCTGAGTGAAAAATAGATGGATGGACACATTTTAAAGGACCAAATATGTATAGAGGCCAGTTAACATCTCATAGACAATGAAGAAGTCCTTTCATTTCTCCCAAATGAAAGCTCTTTCATGCCCATTCTGTAACTCAGACACCAGTTCTTGGAACAGAGGAAACAAATGAGAGCAGAGAGGACTCAAAGTCACCAACTGCTCTACAATCAGAGGTCCATGTTCTGCTGTGGCCAGCAGTGCCACCTGCATTCACTTGATCCCTGATTGGTTGCGATTTAATTGTGGTACAGGGGCAAACTTCCCTGGGCCAGAGGTGTGGAGCACTGCTGCTCTTTGGTAGGTTTCATGGTCCTGGTGGAGAGTGTGGGACAGATGCACTAAAGCTGTGATAGTGAACCTTTTAGAACTTTCAATGATATAAACAGCCCGTTGTGGCATGCCAAAGGTTTGCCACCACTACACTAGAGGTTCTTATCTGCAAAATAGCCTTGAGGAGTCTGCTTTCCATGAGAAATGTTTTCCAGACTGAGATCTCCAGGCCCTCAGAACCTGGAAGGGTCAGAATGAAACAGCTGGAGTCAGAGGGCACTGGTGCAGTGACACACACGTCCCTCCTATACTACCAGAGGAGCCTTGAGCACCATCTCCTCTTTCCAGGAGAGAGAAACAGAATAAACATGGAATCCCATGTATCAGATCCCTCCTCAGGGAAGCTTTGAAGACAAAGAGGGAATGCAGGGAGAGGCAGAAGGGCAGGAATGGGGTATGTCTTCAGGTGTGAGAAGGTGGTCAGTGTCACAATACCCTTTCTATTAAAATAAAAGCCTTCATCTTCTCTGCTTTTGGCTCAAATCAAGGTTTTCCCTCTGCTGGGCCTGGCATATTGGAGTTGTCTCAGCAATGAGATCTGCCTTGATTTTTCTTTGCTATTCATTTCATGTGAAAGAGAAATGTGTTTGCACAAGGAAGCCCAGAGGTTTGGGGACCATCTGTACTCCAGAGAGCTGGTGGCAGTAGCCTTACCAGCTCAGCTTGTATCGGTCACCAGACCAGAGAAACCCCAGGCCAGGGAGACACTATTTGTGAATGCTGGCCTGTGAGTAACTCCAGAAAATTATTTGTTTCCAATGATGCCACCAAACATCCCCAAGTAAGAACCCAATCCCATAAAGGATGCTCTGTAGCCAAATAGGTACCAAAGGAGAAATGTGCTATATTAACAGGAATACTAATGACAAACGCACTGCAGTAGTAATCACATCATAGATACATAGGATATTCTCTATATAGTCTGAATACACATATAAAATAAGTTATACAGGTTTTCATTTTCCATCTCAGTAAGAGCATAACAGACAAAGTGACTATCAGTTGACAAAGAGCAAGCTGAGGAGAGACCATGAAGGAGGGTACAGCACACTGAGTGTGGTGGGGATTTGTAAAGGACATAACAGAGCCACTGCGACCCTACAGGGAACAAGACTCCAGGGCTCTCAAATTGACCTTTGGAGAATCCATACAAGGTCTCGCCTGATAAGAACTGGTGGCTGCATCTGAGCTGAGATGATGCAAGCTAATGGGTGGGAGGCCACATGGGGATTGGCACAGAGTATCCAGCAGCCCAGCCCACTCTCCTGCTGGTAGGTTGGACTTCTGCAATGCTGGGAACATGGGGTGCATAGCCAGAAGGCACGGTTTGCTTCTATGAAATGACAGATGGCCAGATTGATGGCCCACCAAATGCTGGCTGGTCCTTGTCCCTTGCCAGCTGGTGCTGGGTGGCTGTGAGTGGGTTTGCACACTCCTTTGTTCTTTGATTCAGTAGGTAGCAATGCAGGGATCCTGCACACATCACAGTACAGACACAAGTCTTTAGGCCTCAGCTCCTGGCTTTGCCTCCTCCCCATTATGTGTAATTTCTGTGAGTTTAGAAAAGTCATAAACTCTCTGTGCCCCAGGGTCCTCTTCTGCAAAAGAGGGGACTTACATGGGGCATTAGTGAGGCCCACAGAGTAATGCATATAAGCAGCTAACACAGTTCCTGAGACATGGGAGGGGACGAATAAAGGTGAATTAAGTGTGAGCGTCCAGACATCACAGGTCAGGTAAGAACAGGATCAAATCCATGCACTAGAGTGACTCTGATGAGTTTCTAGCAGAAGACCCAAAGATGGCGTCCATACTCTTTCCTCCCAATTTTTTCTTCTCTCTATTTGTGATTCTTTGAAATGAAGTACACACAGAGTTCTAAGCCAGGAAGACAGAGCCTTAGGCTTGGAAAGAATGGAGCACACAGCACAGGTCAACATCTCTTCAAGTCTGGGATGCTGTGCTCAAAGGACACTTTCTAACTCAGTTCTCTCTGCCCTTCATTTCTCGTCTCCTAACCCCTGAGTAGATTTCTTATTAGGAAGGCAAAGAGAGAAACAAAAGCACAAAAAATAGAGTGAATTGAAAATAAAGCAAGTTATCTATTAAATGAAAAGCTTTTCCCATCTGCTTGGAGCCTGAGTAAGGAGGCACTGGGGAATAGGTTTGGGTGGCCACATGTGGGCCAGTGAACCACCCCAGGTCTTTGGGAAGTGGGAGATGGGAGGGTCACAGATGTGGAGACACAGGCTTATACCCTAGGACCCAGGGTGCAGCTTTCTACCCATGCTAGGAACTTGGAGAGGTGTCCAAACTAGGCTCAGCCTGGAGACGGCAGCACAGCTACCCCTTCTCATGTACAGTGCAACTGTCCAGTTGTGTGTGCATGTGTGTGCGCAGGTGTGCACACACATATGTGGTCACTGCTCCTGTATCCTCCTCTAACATTTCCTTAAGCTGGGCCTATTCCTGTTACTCTGCAACTTTCCTCTTGGATGGGGGCAGGAGGTGGGCAGGCAGCTCGTTGGGCAGCTCGTGTCCCTCTAGCTTGACCTTGATGAGGTGGTTAGCCAGTGCAAACTCCTCATCATCCAACATGCCATCCTTGTCGATGTCCGCCAGCTTCCATATCTTGCCCAGCACACTGTTGGGCAGCTTGGAGCGCACCATCTCCTTCTTTGCATTAGCACCTGTGATCTTGCCATCCACAGGGGACAGGGTGTAGAAGATCTCATCATACATGGGCTTGTCCCGGGCCACCACCCACTCCGCATCATCGATGCCCTCCCCAGCTCCCTCCCCATAGCCATGACCGAAGGGGCCGTGCAGGGTGCCCTCGAAGGCTCCACCCTTCACCATCTGCACGGGCCGCTGGATCTCCTCCTGGCGCACCAGCACCATGAGCTGGGCGATGTCGTGCGCCAACATGTCATCCACCACCTCCAGCAGCTTGCTCTTCAGGGGCTGGAATTTGCTAAAGTCTTGGGCCTGCAGCTGGTCCTGGGAAGAGAGAGATAAAGATGGTGGGGATAGAATGGAAGGAGCTGTTCCATTTGTCAGAGCCTCCTAAGTTGCATTATTTACAGTTCCACTGCTTTCCAAGGAAAAGAGTCCGGCCCAGGGGCTGAGTTGATCTACACCACATGGCCATCACAGATATGAAAAGAGGGAGAAAAAAAGACTACACTGGGCTGAGGATGGAGCTTTTCAGGAGGAAGCAGAACAGATGCAGGGGCTGGGAAAGAGAATTTAAACAATATGGCTGATCAGATCCCTTCCTTTTTAAAAAATTTTTCTTTTAATATAGGGTTTCAATACATAGTTCAGGCTGGCCTTGAACTCACTATATAATCCAGGTTGGCCTCAACCTTGCAGGGATCCCCCTGCCTCAGCTTCCCAAGCACTGGGATGATAGTTATGTGATACCAGCCTGGCCTAGACCCCTTCCCTTTTAATGTTACCCAGCGAGTAAATCGTAAAACTTCTCTTTAGTTTTGAATGTTGAATGAATTCTTAAAAGCTATATCCTTCTGAGGCTGAGATATGTGTGCCTCTAATCAGGGTTATACTTGAAAATTACAGAAAGTGCATTTCACTCTCTAGTTGCCTGGTTCACTCCCCACAGTGTTGTATAGGTAGGGAAGTCATATTCTCAGGGATTTACTTATAGATCATTGAATTCTCAACAGAAGGAAAAACACAGAACTGAAGGATTCTAAGACATGTATGACTGAGAAATCCAGATTAGCTTCATGCAGTCCTGAAACTGGTACCTGGCTCGTGCTAGGGACTTGTATGAATAAATAGATCCATGGAGAAATGGAATGTTTTCATTTCATTAGGAAGGAAACTAAAATGCACAGTTGGGTCTAATGATGTCCTGAAAATCCTCATCTTAAACTGAGATACCTGTTCCCACCCTAAACATAAACACAAGAGCAACATTAATTACCGATACTTCTAGGGCTGCTGGTTTTGAGTTTTTAACTCCCCAGTTTAGAAAATTAATTTTGAAGTAATTCTATCATCACATGACCTTATAAGAATCATCCAAAGGGCAGGTCCTTTGTGCTCATCACCTGGTGGCCCCTCCTGGCGACATCTTGCCTAATGGCTGCTAAGTGTCGCAGCAGGAGCTCGATGCTGAGCACCCTGCTTGCAGCACACAGGGTGCTTCTGTAGCCTCCATTTACAGATGAGGTGACAGAGGCTCAGGGAGGACCCAACATAGGGTGGTGTGACTTTTTGCTTTGACCTTGGGGCAGCTTCTGACTTTTCTACTTATAGTTTACATGTAAACACTATGTTGGGAAAACGCAGAGATTTCAGTTTTCCTCTTCTGTAAGAGGCAGATGAAAATGATTCTCTCTGAGGCAAAACATGAGTGGTCCAAGACAGGGGCTTGCAGTACCCCAAATGTCAAGCATCCCGCATCTTGCTGTGATGGGATGTGCTTCCTAAGAGGGAGCACAGAGGTAAGGCTAAGCACCCAAAGTCCCAGAGAACCTGACCTGCCCTATCACATAGGAGACCGTGGAGATGTCAATCTTTCGGTGGTTGTAATTGGAGAACACAACGTCTTAAACAGCATCTGACGCTGGGACCCACCTTTTCCCCAAGGCTCAGATGTGGCATCTGTTGGGACTGGCAATCCGGTTTCAAGTACAGGTCTAGGGCCACTCCCTGCCTTCTGATTCTGGGTTCAGTTTCCAACAGCATTGAGAGCCTCTATTTTCTTCCTGCTAGCTTGAGGGACACTGTTCCTTGTCCTACGGGTCCTTACTCTGCTTACCTGCATCCTCTTCAGGTTGGGAAAGTCTCCAGGTGAGATCTGGTGCTCTCGCTCGATCCGGCCATAAATCTCCCCCAGGTTGTTCACCAGCTCCTTCTTCTTGTTGTCCTTCCCGAACACGGAGGGCATCTCCTTCTTTAAAGAGCTGATGATGTAGGCATGGACCTGACAAATGGGACCAGATGGCAACCTTCACCACTGGACTCTTGACCAGCCCTCCCAGACCTATTCAACTCACCTTTTCCCATCAACCCCATCTTCCTCCTCTTCTGCTCCCACTTCTACAACCACTTCTCTCTCTACCCTCAGGCAGTGCTGGGCTGGGCAAGGTGAGAATATGGGGACATGGTCAGGGCAGCCATGTTGCTACTGCAGACACCAAAGACAGCAAACGTCTGTTGAGCTCTTAAGCACCAGGTGCCAGGATGAGGACTTTAACTCCCTTTGTCCTGCTTCTCCTCCAATAACCCTTCCATTTCACAGATGTGGAAAGAGGCACAGAGAGACTAACAGCCTGCGAGAGGCTAGAGATCGCTCAGGTGGTAGACAGTGACTCCCTGTCCAAATCTGTGACCCCACGGGACTGAGCTAGTATGGCTGACACTCATGACACAATGGCTACAGGACCCTCCCTCTTGGCAGGTGGCAGCACTATTGTTGGAGGCAACTGTCACTTTTGCAACTGAACCCCTAGATTCGTGACCCTTCTTCTGCTGCTGTCCTCTGGGGCAGCCTCACCTTGGCCAGCCTGGCTCTCTTGATAAGGTCATTGAGTTTCCGGAGGGCAGCATTTCGGGGTAGGCTCTGGATGTCCCTGAACAGGTCCTGCTCCTCAGCTTCAAAGAGCTTCCGATTGTCAGGGATGAGGAGGGGGTGGGACCAGAAGGAGCCGATGTAGACCCGAATCACCTCTGGGGTGTTCACAATCTTGCCCAGGGACCACATGAGGGCCCCATACACCCGCATCAGCTGCTGTGTCTCGATCTGGTCGGCCTTGTTCAGCACCACCCGCATCTTGTCCTCATGGTTCTTGAGGGCCTTGATGACTTCTGAAAACTCATCAGAGATGTCCAGCTTGTGGGCATCGAAGAGTAGGATGATGCGGTCCACTCTCTCCGCGAACCACTCCAGGACTGCTGCAAAGTCATACCCTGCCGGCAGAGGGACAGTCAGTGGAACGAGCCTTTGGAGCACAGGTGTGGGGAGGAACAACACATCTCAGATCTGAGCTCGGGTCCTGGCTCTGCCAAATCCTAATGGACCTTGAGCACGTTACTCAGTGTCCTTTAGTGTCCATTAAATCTCAAATACGGGCATCACATCATATCCACTAGAATGATGAGGATTAAATGCAACTCAGAGCCCAGGACTCAGGAGATGCTCGGAAATGCTAGATGTTATGATAAACATCACTGCGCCTCTAAAGCACAGACACCATTGAGCTCTCCCTGTCTTGCTTATTTAATTTAGCAGCCAGGAGTCCTGCTGGAAAAGAACTCTGGATACTTAGTTTGAGTAAAAACTCAGAAATGTTTTACAACTTCCCACAATAATACCTGCAAGTTACTGATGATGGTTCTGACCACAGCCATCACTGGTCTGGAAGAAATCTGAGCTCTGTTATGAACGCACTGACTTGATCTTACTTCCTTCCTCTCACTATCTGCTGCAGCCCAGAACCCCCACCTCTTTAAGTCCATGAAGGCTCTCTTTCTTAGGATGTTACTGGACTTCTAGTGGCCACACCTTCACTATGCACTGCTGACTGATCAAGTCCAGGAGGCCCAGAGCACTTGTGCTCTACCTCTAGGAGCAGCTGAATGGGGAGGCAGTCCCAGTAATCTGCACACTTTACAGCACTAGCACTAAAGAGGCCTTGTCTCTATGTCCTCAGTATCCTCTGCCATAAAACAGGCACAATACAGGAAGTGAAGGCCTAGAGAGGTTGAATGACTTGCTCAAAGGCTGACAGCCCACACTGAGAATGGAGATGCCAGGTCCCCCAGCCTGAGTCTGAGCAGGCTCTTGCTCTGCCAGGCCCCCGTGTCACACCGCTGGCCTTCCTTCGGTGTGGTGTGACCAACAACCCTGTTTCCCATTAGCACATGAGTTACACAGAAATACAGTCTGAGGACCCAAAACTCACAGCCATTGTTGAGTGGAAAGCCCACCCCTTAGGGAAAAATCGTTAGTTTCTGCCCTGCTCAGAGAGAGAGGCCAGAGACCAGACCAAGTCATACAGCAGCTGTCTGGCAGCTAAGCGAGACTGAGGAAGCTCCATCTGCAGTGAGGGTCCTCACTGCTGCCTGATAAGAATCCCGTTAAACCCCAGATGGTTGATCCAGTATGTCTGGGGCAGGCAGTTTTAATGAGTCCCAGGACAGGCTGCTGCTGATGCTGGCTGGTCCAAAGACCACACTGAAAACCCCTGGTCCACAATAAGTTAACACCGATGCAGCATCCACTAGGTACCCAGCACTATTCCGAGTACTTTTAATGATATGAGGTAGAAACTACCATCAGCCCCAGTTTTCAGATTCAGGGGAGGTATAGTAAATTGCTTGAGGTTATTGGCTGCTAGGTGGTGGAGCTGGGATTCAGTGTAGGAAGATGGACCCAGAACCATGCAATAGCCTCTACCTTGACCTGGCTTTGAAGGCTGGTGCCCTTTAGGCTTGGGCTTAGATGGGGCAGGGGATGAAGACAGACAGGGCAGGCCAGGAAGTCTGGGCTTCAGAGTTTCCCTTATTCCTCTGCATCTTCTGGACACTCTGGGACATACTTAGGGTGTGTTAAGGCATTATCTCCTGTGTAGGGCATGGCCATAGAGCAGATAGGACGACCTGCTGTCCACAGCTGCCAGGAGAAGTCCTTTCATTCCAGGGCTATGGGAGCCCCTAACCAGCAAAGGAGCACCAGCCCCCTCCCACCCTCACTCTGTGGACCCAGGCGCCTTGGGTGAAGAAGCGCTTCCAGACATTATCCCCAGAGGACTTTCTGTTGGCTACCGGTTAACACAGGGTTCCCTCTCCCTGACCTGAAGGGCAGACTCACAGGCTGGGAGGCGCCGAGAGAGCAATGGTCCAACTCCTAAGCCAGGGAGAACTGAGGCTCAGAGATGGGCAGAGTGCGCCCAGCAGCAGCCCCCAGGAAGGTTCCTGCACGGCGGGAACTGAGGTCCATCATAAGCCCTACTTTGCCTTCTCATTTAAGAGCCAGACCCCAACAAACAGCTGCAGAGGGTCATTGATCCCACCTCAGAGATGGTCACACAAGCCCCGTGGTGTTCAGTGACTCAGCCAAAAACACCCTTCCCATGGGACGCAGCTCACAGGCTCCAGCTCTAACTGGGAAGTTCCCACGGTGACCCCACCCCACCCTCACCACAGCCTCTGAAGTAAACGGCATGAGGAGCAGCGCTCTGGCTTCCGGAGCAGCAAGCTGGGGTTCGCAGACTGGTGGCCAGAAGTGGCCCCACCACATGCAGCCCTGTGAGCAGTTTTCCCACACAGGCCACCGGCAACTACTCCAGCTGCCCTGCTCCCTCCCTGCAGACCCATCCCAGGCCTCCCGAGAGCCCAGGAGGCTGTGCAGGCCACACAGGTGGGCTGAGGCCCGATCTGCTTCCCGCTCCTCTCCCGTGGACAGTTCAGCCTGTCTTATCTTTCCTTTAGCCACCAGCTGGCAGTGCTGTCTACCTCAAGAATGCAGTCCTTCAGAGGCCTGGCTGTGCAAAGGGTCAGAGGGCTCAGGAAATCAGGGTGAGCTGATCCTCCCACCTCTGGAAATGGTCCCAGTTTCCCTGCTCTAGTCCTTGGAAGGGCAAGCTTTGCCCTTCAGAGCAGACCGGAAGGACAGCAGGCCCCTCCGGCTGTCTGGCAACTTCAGCCCTCAGTGCTAGTGTGTACATTGGCTCCGCTGAGCTCGCTGGCTAAGGCAGCCTGGCTGGCCCTTCTGACAAGAAAACGGAAGTGTACACAGGGTAAGAGGCCCAAAGCTATGTGGCATCAAGGGTCAGAGCCAGACTCAAGGTCCAAGTCTAAGCCCGCACTGGGGCCACCCTTCCCCTGAACTGGGGACGGCAAGGGCATGAGAGAAGCTGTGGAGAGAATCAGCCCTGCCTTTCCCCTGGCTCCAGGGCCTCAAGGCACAGTAAGAGGAAAGGAGGCTGTCTGCAGGGGGGTGGGTGGGGATTCCTTCACCACACACACACACACAGACACCCCGGCTCTGGGAAGGGACAGACAGGGAGAGCTACAGCTCTGGCAGCCCCAGCCCTCGCCTGTCCCCGCTGGCAGCCTCAGTCCTCTTGGTGGTCTCTGGGCACACATGCCCGTGCCTGTTCCCTGCTCACTACAGGGATCCTCCCCACTGCCCGGGATCTGGGCAGGGCGGGCTGGGCAGCGTCACCCTTCTGTGCTTTCCCTGCACCCAGCCTGGGGCGTGCCACACGGCAGGGGCTCCAGCAGTATTTGCTGAACAGAACAGAAATGGGAGCCCTGCTCTGCAGTTTGTACCCAAGAAACAGTGAACAAGTCATCTCCAGGTGGTGGTTTTCTGATCTCTAATTTAGAAGCCACCAAGACCTCAGTCATACTGAGGATCAAATCAGAGAATGCAGGTAAAACTGTGTAATTGTGACCTTGTTCTTTATTTCTCTACCTTCTTTGTAATGAGCTCCTACTATGCACAAGTTTCCAGAAGATGGGATGTACTCTAAAGGGGTCACTGGCCTGCCCCATTCTAGCTTCTGCCCCCTCTTCTAACTTGCTGTGTGTCCTCGGTCAAGCATTGGCTTCTCTCTGACCCTTGATCTCTTTGACCGTAAAACCAGTGCACGGGGATGGCTGATCCCTGGGCTTCCTTTCTTGGTTCACAATTCTCAGCAGGTAGTAGGACAGGAGCACAGTGGGATGGATGAAGATTAGACACAGGGCTGCCTTTGCTGGCACTGTGGGTGAGAAAAGAAGGCTGGAGTCTGCTATGTTAGGTAACTTGTGCATGCTTGTGTGACGTCTGTTCCTATCTGAGACAGGCAGGCAGCTTACTGAACCCTTCCTAGGATTTTAGAAGCACGGAAGCCTTCTCTCCATCCTCCTACTTTTGCAAATGCTACAAGCCCTAGCAAGCTGCTATCAAATGACAAACAGTAATGCCAGGAGCTTTCCGCTGACGTGCTGTGCAGATGAGAACAAAGCAATGACACCACTGACTCCTCCGAAGCTCACCCTCCCAGCTCCTGCCTAAATCTCCAGATGGACATTTAATTGCTTCCGTGGCCAGATTTGTGTGCACATCCAGGAATGGAGGCACCTGAAAGGCACAACAGACTGGACCCCGGGAGGAAAAAGACTAATCGCATATTTCTTTTCTGAGTGATTTGGTTAAGTCTGAAGCTCAGTTTTCTCAGCCTGTAAAATGGAAATAATAAGACTGCCTGCATGAGCGGTCCATGGTGGCACCCTGGAAAAGTGGAGCAAGGTGTGGCTTCAGTCTGGAGACTGCCCTACTGTCCAGGGTGAACGGCACAACCCTTCCCATCCTTGGTCCTAGGAATAGCTCTATGGAGCGCCCACAAAAGCCCAAAGTCTGTGAAACACGGAGATTGACAGTAGAAGCTTTCTCCCATCCCCCAAAATTTCCCTGCCAGCTCTCCAGAGACTGAGCTGCCTGCAGAGATCTGTGGCTCTCCACTCTGAGCTCCAGGGGACAAGAAAGAAACCATTTCCAAGGAGGAAATCAATGAGACAAACTCAATAAGCAAGGCCTGTCCACCCACTGGCTTCCTTGAGATCTAAAACGCACACAGAAGCAGCACTGGCTTTTGCATTTTCAGCTGCACAACTGACCTCCTGGTGCTCCCCAGGCCGGGAGGTGGACAGAGCATACACTCTCCGGGAGAGGAAGCAGGGATGCAGACAGACAGCAAGCTCCTTGCTTGTGCTCAGAACGAGTCAGGGGCAGACTCAGGCTTACATTCTCTTAGTTTGTAGCTTTGTGTGAACCTGGGGTGCAGAGAACTAAGCCCTCAAATCAGACACCTACATACAGTGAGCTGGTAACAATCCCATCTCTCTCCCCAAATCACCAGCAAGATTTAAGGACATTTCAGCAAAAGAGAAATATAAAGGCATCCATTTCCAAAATGCAGTATGGACTTGGCTGACGATGCACAGCAAGTGTTACCCCGGTAACCTCCCGGAAGTGGCCTCCAGGAGTGGCCAGAGCAGCGTCTTCTAGGCCTCCAGAAAGCCACAAAGCTGAGGGAAAGCCTTCTGCAAGGCACTGGGGCTCAGCTGCTCTGCCTGGGCCTGCGAGTGCCCACAAACATGAGTCTACTAGCACGCTAAGTACTGGCCGGGCTCCAGTGAGGGTGTCAGGGATGGGCCAGGAAAATGAGGCTGTGAGGATCCATACAGACACCCCAGGCTGACCCCCAAAGGCCCCAGAGGAAACTCACAGGTGAGAAATTTGCCCATTTCTACCCATTCTGCTTTTCCCGGGCAGGTAATGATAGCATGCTGAACTTCCACTGGGCATTGGGAGGTTGGTGTTTCCATTCCAGATGTGTGACCTGGGCCTGCTGAGTGCACCTGTACAGGAAGGGGCCGACTCGGTAGGAACATCCAGCCACACGTGAAGTGCAGGGTAGCTCTTCCAGGATGGGGCCAGTGGGCACTGCTGGCTGGGAATTGGTCTGGAAACATGAAGACACGTGGCTTTCCGGAGTCCTCCCACTTCTCCTGCATCTTCAACTCTTCCCAGTAATGAGCCCAGCCAGGCACATCCTGCCACTTCCAGGAATTGCCCCACTGACTGCCTCTCCTGGCCACCTAAAGCATCTCCATCAAGACACCAGTGCAGGCCTGGGACCGCCTCGATCTGGCTTCCCCTGAGACACATACTCCTTCAAGCCTAAGCAAAGGGACACAGCCTGAACAGGGATCACATCTTCTGGGCTGTAGCCTGAGGCCCAAGTGCCCCTCCCCATGGAGCCTGAAGCCACAGGGGCCTGGGGAACAGCTCATTGTCCAGTATGGCTCCCTGTGCCTCTGGGTTGACCTGAGACTGATGTTCCCTTGACGGTGAGACAGATCTGAGCCAGGCCTGAGCACAGCTGAGTGGGATGTGGGCTGGATTTTAGGCTCTATGCTCCCCTTGGCCATGTACCCCCTCCATGCAGGGCATGGTCTGCAGGACCACCCCCCAGGGACAGTCTGGCGTGCCCTGGGCTAGTCAGAGGAGGGGGAGAAGTGCCAAGTCTGCTCTGTCATCTTCCCCAGCTCCTTGGGAGGTCCAGGCAACAAGCCACAACAATGTTCAGCTCTTACACTGGCCTGGGTTCACAGCATGGGTATAGGGAGGGACGGGTGGTGTGTAGAGTGTGCATGTGAGTGGGCTTAAACAGGACCCCGGGGCTCTGTGGCTGACTGGGAGGGGCTCTGCACACTGGAGATGTTCTTCATTCAGGGTGCCCTCGTTAACAAAGGGTGTCTGATACCCCACCCGACCCTCCTCAGGATGCTGAGGTTAACACTGGCCCAGGCTGGTAACCCAACTCTGGCAGCCCAGCCTGCAGCTCTCACTTTTATCACAGCTGCTGCTGCCAGCAGCTGCATCTGCAGTCTGCATTCAGAAGGCAGGGAGCACACCAGCCTGCACAGCCACTCACAGTGCCATCAGTTTTCCAGAGCTCAGTTTACCACGATCCAGACCTGGAGTGGAGGTCTGTTTCTTGGAGTAGAGGTCTGTCTGTGGTTCCATTATGGTCTCTGGATCTCACCAGGAGGCTGTGATGCATAGCATCACCCTTTGTTAAAATGGGGACACTGAGGATCAAGGGAAAATGTTATTGAGATCCATGGTTTTAAAGCTCAGAACTTGGGACTCCTAGTACGCATGGGAGGCCCTGAAGCTTCCTTTAGGGCACTGGTCTTGGGGTACCTGTACCCCACTCCACCTTGGTGCTGAAGAGACACTGGTCCTCCCAGCTTTCCTGAGAAGACAGGGAAAGCCTCTTGGGCCTAAACTCAGGATGAGCTACCAGAGCCACTTGGGGTCGGGTGGGACCAGGTAGGAGGGAGGACAAAGGACCATCCAGGCCATTCCCCCATGGTCTTAGGGAGCCAGGTGCTCACAGAGGACTGCGGGCGGGAAGGCAAGGGTGAGACAGGGTCAGGGTCTACAACTTCAGCCCAGCCCACTTACCTCCATCACATGGCCACACTGGGCAGGCTAGGGCACCAGGCTACCAGGCTCCTGCAAGGGCGACACTGTTACACCCCAAGGCTCACAAGGCAGCAGATCACAGAAATCATTAACGCTGTGTCCCAGGACCCCTTCTGACTCAGCAGCTTCCTTCCCCTCTGCTTCCTGATTCTCACTTCCCAACTGTGCATGCTGGGTGTTGGGGGGACTTTCCGCTCAGGATTCTACACCCCCCAGATAAGGACTCCAGGACGAACATTCCTTGACGCATGGCCTGAGGTTAACCCAGCCCTGCTGCCTGGCACGCCTCTCCAGCTCCCTTTCCTCTCTACTCCTCACACCCTGGCCATGGTGCACCCCAAGAGCTGATACCCAGGCCTGTGGCTCCACACCTGGCCTGACCAGAAGAGAGTACTTTCTCCAGAAGGGCTGCTCTTGGGATGTGAGACAGAGGCCAATTCTAGCACCAGAAACCTGGACCATGGGCCTCATGACACACAGCCCCAGGAGCACCTGCTGGTCACCCTGTGACTCTGCCCTCTGGAGGGTAGGAGTGAGCAGTGCCAGCCAGGGCAGGCTATGTCCTTGAAGAGACGGGTTTCTGGGCCCCCATCGCCACGGCACAGTTGTGGGTAGGACAGCGCTCTGCAGCCCTGCAGCACAGAGAGCCGAGGCACATGCCGCAGAGGCAGATATCACCGGAGGTCCATTTAGGAGAGGCCCTTACTGACCTCCTACAGAAAGCTGCCAGTTCAAATCTGTTCCTTCCTGGAGGAAGGGTGGCTTCCGAGTGCTGAGTTGGCTCTAGGCCCAGCTCCCATTTACAGTATGGGGTGGGTGCAGCACATCTGATTTCCTTGCCAGAGATACAACGCGCGACCCAATAAGGGTGAGGGACACACAGCAAACGTGAGAGGAGAGGCTAAGTGGGGGAGGTCAGGGTTTTAGCTTTCTACAGCATCAGCCAACATCTCAGAGACAGGTGACTTACACCTCATGCTTGCTGGATGCTTGCTATGTGTCAGGCATTTTAAATTCTATTATTTCTTTTAATCCACAAACAACCCTACAAGATGGATTTCCATGGACGTAAAGACAGAAACCAGAGTGCCTCTGCTAGGAAAAGCCAGGGGCAGGCATGGAACCCCTCCACACACACACACACACCGCACTGTGACCTCCCGAAGTGAGCACTTGCTCTGTGTTTATCTGGAGCCAAGAGTTCTCAGAGTGCTCCTCCAGGCGGAACCCCCTCTCATGACCCCGTGAGCGCTGTCACACTCAGCCCAGCACCTGCCCTGCCCTGCCCTGCCCCGCCAGCTCTCGGCATGCATCTACTTCCTCGCTGGAGCTGCAGCCCAGGGCAGGGGCCACGGGAACCTACAAAGGACTCAGTGTGCCTGGGATCCTTTCTGCTTCCTCTCTTCTGTGAAACCATGGATCCATGGTTTTGGTTTTTGGGTCAGTGCTATGCTGTTTTTATCACTGTAGCTTTATAATGGAGCTTCAAAGCTGGGATTGTGTCACCTCTGGCTTTGCTCCTGCTACCCAGAACTGTTTTTGCTATTCTGGGTCTCTCCTGGTTCCATCTGAATTTTTGGATAGTTTTCTCTACATCTGTGAGGAATGCTGCTGGTATTTTAACTGAGACTGCATTAAATTCATATATCAGAGACACAATTTTAAATATCACATAGTTTCTCTTCTACAAAAAATCCAAGACATAAATAAAGTGCAAAATAAAGGACAGATAATAGCAAGGAGAGAAGTCTTTTTCACATGAGAGGGGAACAAGAGATGGAAAGATAAGGGGAAGAAAGGAAAAACGATTTTAAAAAGAGAGAATTGAATTAAAAAATGGAAATACAGCTTTTTCAAATGGATAGGGGGACAAGAGTTAAGGGAGCAGGAACGGGGGGAAGGGGACAAAAATTAAGATGTGTTATGTGCATGTATAAACTCCCCATGATAAACATAATCATGTACTAATAAAAAATAATTAATAAAAATTAATAAAAAGAAGGAAGAGCAAGGAGAGGGGAAGGGGAGGAAAAGAAAGCAACTTGCAAAAGAGCCATGCCAGCTGCTTCTTAGACAAGGAGTAACTCATTGTGAATAAGACAGACACGGATATCCCATTTTAAAGATGAGAGGACTGAGGCCAGCTGAGCGCCGCTGCTGGCTCCTGCCTACATCTGTCCCACATAAAATCGCCCCACATGGCAAAAGAGTACCCATCCATGAAGAGACTGAAGGCTGTGGGTGCTTCTTTTCCAGTATGGAAGAGTAAGGACACGGGAACATGCTGTGAGCCTGGGGCAAACCCATCCCTGCGCCTCCCCTACCTCGGCTGATCCTCTGCTTCTCTCCGGACAGGATCCCCGGAGTGTCGATGACGCTGATGCTCTCCAGCACGGCATTGGGCAGCTGCGCACACACGAACCTGCTCAGGCAAGAGGAGGGCCTCAGTGCATGATGCACGCACCTTCCCTGGCTCAGCCGCACAAATCTGGGCCCCTGCCTGACCCACGGGACCCACACAGCTCCTGTTCACCCAGAATAGACTTGCTTGGTACTGGGTAACAGTGACAGCTGACAAAGGACTGAGGTTCTCTGTGTCTCCCTGCATCCCATCTTGGTGAACAGGGCCACCTTCCTGTGTGAGCAAAGCTCTGGCCTGATTCTTGCAGCCCCGAATCCTTAGCTGATCTTGGGACAGTGACATTCTGCCCTGAATGGCTTCACTTACCTTGGCCCACTCTTGGACCTTCAGCTTCTCAGATGGCCAGCAAGAAAAACCCGCCCCCTCTTCCAACGGGCCCCTGGGGACAGAGGCAGGGGGAGCCTCAAGGTCCGCACACAGAACAGGGCGTGGGGGCCCCTTCTGATTTGACCCTCAGGGCTCCCCCTCTGTGTTCTGACTTGGAATCCTACATTGTGTAAGACAGTATGTGGGAGTCACCAGGAAGAGGATCACAGCAGGCAGTGGGCTTGGGGACCTGTACTTTTGATGTCCCTGGGTGACCCTGATGCAACTACAGCTCATGCTTGTAAACCTGTGATGTCAAGGACCCCAGGATTTTTACCCCCATGCCGGTCTTGTGGAAGAGATTTATCCCCACACACACGCAAGGGTGCAATAGGGCCAGCACTTCAAAGCCAGGGAGGGTCCGGAAGATTCTGGAACAGGCGGCGCTGGGGCTCGCCTTGACAGACAGGAGCCACTGCATTCTCTTGGGCAACTAAAGGGCCATCTGACTATTGAATGTGACTCTATAACAGCAGTCTAGCTCTATTCAGGGTGAGCAGGGGGCCAAAGGCTGATGGGAACCTAACACAGGACTGCTCGGTGGCATGGGGAGCAGAAACCAGGAGTCCCCACCATAGCACCTGGTGCAGGCTGCCGCGGAGCTGGGGGCAGTGGGGAGGCCCTGTTCCCTGACGTCCTCTTGTGGATATGCATGACAAACTCCAATGCCCCAACCAGTGGTGAGCACGGAGGTCACAAGCCCACAGTGTCACCTGTCCCCTAGTCACAGGCCCTGCACCGGGGCAGGATTTTCCTTTCTCCCTGTTCATATTCTTTCCCTCTCATCAGTGTTGTCTGCCCAGAATGTCCTTTTTTCACCCTCTCAGTGTCACTTCACCCATCAGTTAACGTCCATGTCAAAGGCCAACCTTCCCACCCAGGCCTCTCGGCCCTATCAGCCCCCGCCCCGGTCACTACCTGCTCCCACTACGTCTCTGTCCACCAGACTGGAGTAGGCATCATGCTCCCTGCAGTGGGGCCCAGGGTATGCTGAGCTGGAGCACAAACGCCTGGGAAGGCAATGGGACTGCCCTCCAAGCGGCCACCTCGTACGCCAGGACACAGCCGTCCTCTCCAGGCCAGCACCTCACAGGGCCCTCAGCATTTGGGGTCTGGCCTGCTTCCACCTCCTCAGCTCAACACCTTAATCGCTGACATCACAGATTGAAAGACAGCGAGTCCAGACTCTATCCCAGTACTGCCTTATACCCACATTATTGTTTCATAATACCTTCATTCAGAATGCGTTATAAACTATTTCAATAATATCCAAATTATGTTATTATGGCTTAAAAAAACCAGTGGAGCAAGGCATATAGTGATAGAGGTCTCCTTCCAACCTTCTCCTTAATTCTGTTTTCTACGTGTAACCACAAAGGTAATCACCCTTAGAGTTCTCTGTGTGTGTATGTGTGTGTCTCTCTCTCTGTCTCTGTCTCTCTCTCTCTCCCTGATGTTTTTTCTTTATGCCACATCTCAGGCAGAGATGAGGGCACAAAGGATTTGGAACTTGTATTTTATTGTATCTACAGATGAAGACAACACCAAGGGTGTTGTCACGCCACCTCACACTCCCGGGCTCCCAATGGGTAGCTGCGGAGTCAGGGAGACCTGCGGGGCTTGATTAATGGCATAAAGGCTCTCAGCTCACAGGAATGCACCTGGCGTGTGATAGCAATGACATACATTCCTGAGAGACCACGGGCTACTACGCAAAACACAGCATTCTATTACTATTATATACTAATTATCCCCAAAGGGGGCTAACCACTGATGCTGTGCTCATCCTGTCCAGTGACCCAAGTGCCACTTGCATATCCCGGGTTTTCTTTCCTATCACCTGCAGTTCAGCTCATCTCATTTACTGCCAACTCGATGTCCAAAATCCAGTTCATCACCCCGGCCATTCGCCCCCCACTGACTCATTCTCTCCCTCAGGCTCGAGCTGGCCCCATCCATTTCCAGTTTAGCATCTTGGCACAGGTCTTCCTCCGCATGCTGGGCTGCACCCTCATTAGTGCCCAGGGATCAGAGACCCTCCTGGGCTCCAGGACACCTGTCACACTGCGTCTTAGCACTACCTCACCTCAATCTTCTTAGAATGATTCTGATTTCCTTCCCTGTTAACCTAAAGAACTTCACGAGCCCCTCTCTGCCAAGCCCCTCCCCACGATTTCTCAGCACAACTTCTTCTCACCTCTGCTCTAGGAGCAAGCAGCCCTGGTAGCTCACAGTTCCACTGTTCACCTGGTCCCCTGCCCAGCCCTGTCTCAGAGTACTTCTCACTCTGTGTCACTACACACAAGACAGGTGAGAAATATTCATGGCTTTCTCAAATTTACTGCGAAGGATAAAAGGTGTTGAAAATCCTTGAACATCAAGTATCAACTTCTACAACTGCAAATACAACCACCATAAGAATAGTGTGGGAATCAAATTTAAAATGCACAATAGGACCGCCACCACAACCTACCACTTTTGCATTAGTTACTACATGCCAGACACTAAGCAGTAACTCACTTGTCCCCTTTAACCCCCAAAAGAATTATGACTGCCACCCCACTCCACAGATTAAAAAAGACAGACACAAAGACGGTTAGTAATTTGCTCAACCTCTAGTCTCAATCTGGGTTTGAACTCAGGTCTGTATGAAGCCAAAGCCTACTTTGGTACCTTTACTCTATCCAATTAGAAAAAGTAGCTTTAAAATTATTAAGTGTAGCTGAGGATTCAGTAACATTAGCACCTGCCTTGCAAGTAAGTGGTCGTGAGTTTGATCCCCAGTACCAAAAAAGAAAAACAAAATTTGTTAAGTATAACAGGCACACAAAACTGGATTAATATAATAAGCGTGATTAAGGTATCAACCTAAATTCTAATTAAGAGAATATGAACGGGAAGGCCCAAGTTAGCTTTCCAAGTACTCCCTAGGGCTTTCTCCATTCCAGTCCTCTAGATAACCCTGGTATCTGCCCGAATGTGCCCCAGAGGACAGGAGGTAACCTTCCCCCTGGACACCCAGGAAGCTGAGCAGGAGTTAGCCCTCAAAGCCAAGATTTGGCTTCTCTCAAATCCAGGATTCTGTCCCCTAGCAGAAAAAATCTCTAGGAATAGAAAAGAACCTTCTTCTGGCCCCTTCTATTTGGATGCAAAGCCCAGCCACGCCACAGGCAAAGAATGGCACAGATGGTACCTGTCTCTGCATTTATTAATGTGCAGGGGGATTAAGGAAGGCAAGCAAAGTCACTGTTGTACCCTTTCCTGCTCCTTGATCAGGAGGAATCAGCAGTCTTTGCCCGCACGTATTCGACTGTGCTGGCCACCTGGGTTGCACTGCAGCCAGTAAGAGGCCGTGGTATGGAAAAGTCACCAGTGTCCCAAGAGTACACCCTGGTGCACCCATTTCCCATGCTCCGAAAAGCACCAAGGAGATCACTCCAAGGCACACATCCCCCACCACACTCACCTGTTCAGGAAGGCATTCCCAAAGGCGTTGAGTTTCCTGAAGGGTTTCTTAGGATCCACAACCAACGCATTCCCAGGGATGATCCCCTCCACGTCGCCCTGCATCACTGCTATGAAGGAGTCGGTTGTCGGCTCGGGCCCGATCCTCATGCCTGGGAAATCCTGTTCCAGCAGATACCTGGCAGAAAGGAAGGAGCACAGTCCTGCTGTGGGGAGTCTGCGGGTGGACCAACAAGGCACGGCTGCCACATGGCTGGCCACACGTGAGTCACGGGAGCGGGGCAGATCGGGAACAATGAGATGCCACAAATCTAAGAACTTTACAGAGCAGGTGCGATTTCAGATGGACTTCAGGGCTCTGCTGCTCTTCCCGACCCCTCTCCCTACCGGAAGCAGCAAGGGGGAAGGAAAGCAAGGTTTGGGTTCAAGAAAAAAGCCCAGACTAAAACTATTCCTGGCCACAGTACAGCGGACTTCAAAGTGAAGGGAACCTGCCGAACTCTGAAGAGGAAACTAGGAAGTGAATCTCTATCCCATCCTGGACCCTGTGCCCCACTCCCCAACACCTGCATTTTGCATTCTGTGTTCTAAAAACACTCATATGCACATATTGTAATTACATAATCAGACGTAACATTTACACATATAATTGATTGAATTTTTAAGCAGAGAAGCAGGTCACACCTTTCTTTCCTGTCACTATCCATTTAATTCAAAATTTCAAAGATGAGTCTGAACTCAAAATGTCTTGCAGAACATTAAGTTATTCTCTCCCGTTGTCCTTGAGTTTTAGGCTGTACCTTATCAATATAATACATATGGTGGATTTCTCGAGCAAAGACTATAGCTATGCTGTTTTTTATTTGCTTTACCCAGAGAGGCCTCAGAGTTTTTTGTCTACTGATGCTTTCCTATCACACCCAATACTGGCACATATGTACCCTGCCCCTAACAAGTGCATCCTGTGTAACCGCAAAGGATGCTGTGCTGTGACACACACACAAATTTACATATTCTGTAATAATTACCTGGATGATATCAATGCACATGTTTCTTTTTTATGCTTAATGTATTCAGGAGGCAGCAGCTCAGATCTGCTTTATGTCACTCAGCCACAATACAGAATTGCATTATACGGATGATTGCAAGCCATTTTAGCAAATTTTTTAGCAAAAATTCTCCTGATAACGTTTGATAATTTCCAAGGCCAGATGGAACCAAAATGTAAGATAATGGTACAGTTTATTTTGTTTCTGTTTTTTTTTTTTTGAGACAAGGTCTCACTATGTAGTTCAGGCTGGCCTTCATCTCACTATGTAGCCACGGCTGGCCTTGAACTCATGGCAATCTTCCTGCTTCAGCCTCCCCAGTGCTGGGATTACAGGTGTGTGCTGCCATGCCTAGCTAGGGAGTTCACGAATTATCTCAACCAGAAAGGTGAAGTAGAGGAAGAGTTTACTTGTATGGGACAGTTTCTAAGGTATCCACTTCCGCCCCTTAGTGTGGGCCAGGAGACCCAGTCCCTTTTACTCAGTGTGAGACCTCAGGCAGACCTCCTCCCCTCGCCAGCCTTGTCCTCTGTCCCAGGAGACTGGTTCCTTCTGTTCTCTGGGCCGCTGTGGCAGGGATGCACTGCTGGACAGTGTCGCAGCAGCCACTCACTGCCATACCAAGCATGACCCTAGATGATGGGTGCTTTAGAGCGGGCAGGAGAGTGGAGAGCTAACTGCTCAACTTCTGGCTGCAGCCTGAGGTGGCAGGAGTCTCTCTGCTCCTCTTCAGGTGGAGGCAGTGACAGCCCAAGGTCACCTGCTCTCTCCACAGTCACAGAAGCCCAGATCAGTGGCACAGGGCAACCCAGAGAACAGACTCTGAGGACAACAGAGCCCTTAGGGATACCAGGACAGTTCTGAGCACCGGTGGTGGGTGGCCTGGCCAAAGGAAGGAGGCCAGAATTAGCTCTCCTCTGGCCAGTCCCAGGAGCACCTTCAGAGGCTCCGATGCACGAGAGCTAAGGGACACTGCCACAGACACATGCGGTGAGCCCTCAGGGGCACTGGGAACCTTTTTCCTCCTCACAACCTCCAGGGCCTGCTGGCACACTTGAGGGAGAATCAAGGAGCCTTCAGGAGAAGAGATGTCATGCTGGCTGCTGGTAAACTGGGAAGGGAACTTGGAGGTGCACTGCTCCTTGGTCCCCAATCCTGGCTGCATACTTGAGACTTAATGGAGTATTAGTTGATAGTCTTGGGGCCCCAAGTCAGAGGTTCTGACTTGTTCATCCAGGGATGAGGCCCTAGCAATTGCTACTTATGGTATGTTCTCTGACTGATCCAAACATGCAGGGAGGATGGATAAATTACTCTGAACACTTCAAAGGAAGCATCTCCTTCAATCCTTAGACTGAAGTGAGGAAACCAACTGGTGAGTGTTATGTGGCTTTTTCAAAGTTAGCCAATCATAGAGCTGCAACCTGAAGCCCTACCAGTCCCCAAATCCTTCACTCTTCAACTGCTTTCTTTCCTGAGGATTTCACTGTCCAGAGACTGTGGCTGCCCAAAAGCCCAGAGACGGGCAGGACAATCTGCAGTGGGAAGATGAATCTCTGGGTGCTGAGCTCCCAGGCATCCTAGGCCTCCCCAGCTGGGCTTCCTCTGGGTCCCTGGCGTGCAACTTGCACCTTCAGGGAGGGTGTGGAGCTGTGCTTCACTCCATGGTTGGTTCCCTGGCAGTGTAAACTGGTTGCTATGGGTTCCTTCCCCAGGGAGCCTATGCGGGAAGCTGCTGATCTGCCAGCCTGGAGCACACTGCCTGGCAGGCTGTACCCCCTGCTCCAGCCACTGCTTCTGGTGGCCTTGGGAAGCCCCGAATGCCTCCAAGATCCCAGCCCAACAATTGGGGTGTGAAGGCAGGATTTCCTCTGACCAGATGGTCACGTTGGGAGCTGGCATTAGGACTGGATAAGAACACAGCACAACAGCTGTACACTTGGACAGCATTTCCTGCTTCTTCGAGACGCCTTCTCCTCTGGGTCCGCTAACTCTGAGGGGGACGCCTCCTGCATACTTCACCTCTGTGAACCTCTGCAGCAGGGTCTTAATAGCTCCCACTTACTGTGCACCTGTGTCTTGCTGGGCATTGTTCCAAATGGTCTGAGGATTATCTCATTAATATAAGCTCTATGATCCTCCTTGTCAAAGGGGCCTAAGAAAAACCAACCGCATAGTGCTCTAAATCAGTTTCAGAAACTCAGTGATGAACCAGTACCTGGCACCAAGGAGAAAAGAAAAGTCCAGCTGTTCAGGTTATCCATCAGTCAAGGCAGGGTGAAGATCTGAAGCTGGCACTCAGACCTGAGCATTCAAACTCCTGATTACTGCACCCACTGTCCCTTTTCCTGCCAGGGCAGAGAATGCAACAACTCTTGGAGACCACCCAAAAGGGCTGAGCCCTATATAGAACTGCAGTGGGACAAGAAGGCCACAGCATAACACAGTTTGGCAGCAGGTTGGGCAAAGATTTGGTGTCCAAGAAACCAGGTGTCTGCAAACACCGTCCCTGAGTGCATAGCTCAGGCACAATGACTGCAGCGAGGCAGGCAGAAGCTGGTGCTATCAGGTGCCCTGCGGAGGCTGGCAAGCTCTGACAGAACACTGAGAAACAGCACAGCCTGATTCCCCCTGAGACTCAGGGCTGTGACTTGGGAAAGCAAGTGCTTGGCTGAGAAGTCTGTGTGCCGGGGGTGTGGCAAGCACGGACCAGGAGGAGAGGAGGGGCAGTCATCAAAAGCTGCAGGGACAGCTGACATGCAACAGGGTAGAAAGAAACATTTTGAGGCAGCCACAAGAACACCCAGAATGAGGAGGGCTGAACGACAGAGGTCTGTCACGTTCCTTACACAGGCGCCTCACATCGTATCCCTGAGACACCGTGTCCTCAGCTGACGAGCCAAGTCCAGCCTGTCAGGACCACTTCCTGAGAAGTCACAGAGCCGTCACCTCAGAGGAGGCCCCACTGGACCGAGCCTGCTGGCCTGCTAGGCTCACGTGACCTGAAACTCACTGACCACTCATGGGTCTCAGGAAATACAGAGTCCCCAGAGAGTCCAGGGGTGTGGGTCAGGCCAGGCCGAGAGCCAGGGGCTGGATAAATTCTCAGGGACATTTGGGTATGGCCTGTGGCACTGGGTGCTCCCCTAACAAGGCCACCACTGTGTGCAGGAAGGAGAATCTACTGAGGAATCTCCCGTCCTGCTTAGTTATGGGAAGCAAGACAGATCGCCTCTGTTGCTGAGTGAAACATTACCACAGCGGTATAAAAAAACTTAATTCAAGCCTGGGTGGGATCAGCTGAGACAAGGACACGTGGAATAGGGAGGGACAGAAAGCTGAGCCTGCACTGTGTGGTCGGCACCGTTCCCAGAACTTTACCTGTTTCATTCCTCTTAATCAGACCTACCAATCAGGCCTCTGCGGCTGACGGCACTGTTTCAGGCTTGCAGCTGAATACATTGTGGTTACTGCTCAGAGCCAAGTGAACATATTTAGAGGTCCTAAAGAGCTGAAAAAAGTTTGGTGCCCGCCTTCACCATCTAATGCAAAATAAACACTGAACCGAAAATGGTGGGGAAGTCCAGTGCAATTCTAAGTTTTCCCATGAAGATGGCATTTCTTCACATTTTTCTGAAATAAATTAGTTCATAATATTTTCCTCATGCTTTGTGCCCTTTGGGTTGGCAAGAGAAGGATAGGGCCCACTTTACTAGGATCATAAGTACCCAGGGTCAAGCCTGGAGCCAAGAATCTCAATTTAGCCCATCTTCCAAGCACCTAGCTCTCCAACAATGGGGTGCAGACTCAGACCCAGGGCCACTGCTAGGTCCAAGACCAGGGTGGGGGAAGCGGGCTTGGGGTTCACAAATAATGAAGCCAGAGGCTTTGGGGGTATCAGGTGCCCCAGCTCAGCTGAAGCATACGTCTTTTTGGCAGTTACTCTAATACCAACGTAACTTCAAACAAGCAGCCCAAAAGTCCAATAAACTCAGCATCTCTGCTGTGAAACCTTTGGAAAAGCAAGGGTTACACCTGACTTTTGACCACACTGGCTCATACAATAGAAAAAAATGAGTAATTCTGTGTTGCCTCTAAGTACCATTAACTTGGTTCAGGATTGTTTTTGTTTGCAAACAGAAGCATTTGGCAAAAATTTGGTGTTTGTTTGTGAACTCTGCATTGGCTGGCAAACATGACCATGGCCATCTTTCCTAGACAAACACAAACGTGGTCACCTTTTCCAAAATCGCGGAACAAATTCAGTTTGTGGGCTGAGGTACCACTGTACTTGGGACACGCTTGTCTAGTCTCCAAACCCTGTCTAAAAGGCTCCTCTCTGAAGCCTTAACTAGCTCTTTCCCGTATCATCTCAAGCTTACATTCCCCTTCTTTTCTAAAACTCTCTTGCTTTGCATAATTTTTAGCTGTACTCTACAATCAAGTGTCACTTTGGGCTTAGATGAATGGGTATTTGTGTCATAGGTCTATATCTCCAGGTGCCTACGACATGGCATTTCAGCTTGAAAATAGGGTGGACAACAATGCTTGCCCCAACAACTTCAAGGGTTTTAGGGAGAATGTAAGACACCCCAAAGTGAGGTAGCAGATGGGAGACTCTGCCAAGTTAAGATGAGATAGCGCTGTTTCCCTGGTGCAGAGCAGCCTCAGTTGCTGAGGGAAGACATTAACCCAGTATGAAGAAGAATTTAGCAACACACTGAGTATCTGTGAGATGTATATTATCACTTACATGGCATTGATATGGAAACTGAGGGTCAGAAAGACTAGGCGGCCTGATCTCAGCTTTCCTATCTTGGTCTCTAGGCTAGGAAGCAGTGGGCCCTGGGTTCTGCAGACCTAGCCTGTTTCTGGGATCTCTGTCCCATGGTCAGTGGGAAGAGATGGGATGCACACCTTCCTCAAGATGTGCCTCTCTCTGGTATACGCTTTTCCTGATGTCTTCAAGACACCTGGCAGATGCTAGGTCAGACCTCAGGCAGGCAGACCCAGGTCCTCCAGCCTAGGGCTTTCTGCTCCCCTGAGCAACAACCAGACCTTGGAAGAAGCAGATGGATTTTCACCCAGCTCCTCTATGAAACCAGGAGATCAGAGCTCTGTTGAGTCAGGCACCTTCTGGGGTACAACACAGGGTCCCTGAAGAAATGCAGAAGGAGGTCAGCTGAGTAGGCCTCACCACTGGGCACCCTTCATCCCAGCAGCTCTGCGCTGTGCTCATGTCTTTGGCCATGCCCATCTGGAAACCAGCCCAGTCCTCCCTGTGGGGACTCAGGTAGTTTCGCTCTGTAGCCCCAGAGCCCTGGGGCCACCACTCCAGCCTAGCCTTGGTCCAGGGAAGCCTCTCTTAGGGCCCCTAGGAGAACTCAGGCCTCCTCAGCTCCTGGAGGAGCATCTGTTCACATCTACTACCCCCACAAAGCAGAACAGAAAGTGGGAAGTGAGAAGAGGTGACCAGGGGTCTACTGATACTCAAAAAGAAAGTTTGAAGGCTGCATGCTAGTGAGAGAAACAGCAAGGGAAAGGAACACAGAGGTGGGAGTTAGGCTGCCAGGCCCAGGGACACAGAGCTACTGTACTCCACAGCGGCAGTTTGTTGGAGGAGCAGCCACCGGGCCAATTTATTGTTTATTTTATTACTCTCAGTTGCTGGGCTGTAGGCCAGGAAGTTATTTCAGGCAAAGATCATAGCACATTAATTAGTTATTAGAAGAATGTCCTTTCTGTGTGTTCTTCCTGAGACAAGAAATAGACCCCGTGGCCAGCACATAGAACTGAAAGTGGATGGTCACTTGGGAGGCAAAAAGCCAAGAATGGGGGGGATGAAGAGTCAGGGCTCTGTTTCCCAGGCAAAGGCCCCTCACAGGTTCAGGCCTGTGACCTAAGAGTAAATAAAGCTCGGGAACAGAGAGGAAGGCGGGGGGGAGGGCAGGCATGCTGAGAGCCAGTCACAGGGGCCCACAGCTAGCCTGGGGATCTTTATTTACTTTGCGGAACAGATGTTGAGCTCATTTTCCCTCTTGGAAGGCAAATGTGAAATGTAATTCTTAACGTAAAAAAAAAAAAATTAAAAGAAAGTTAGAATCAAAAAATGCTGCACAACTTTTGGCCTAATAATTCTGCATGTCTGGGATTTGCTGAATGACAGTCCACTATGTGAGGAAAATCTTATGGACAAAGATATGCAGGGTGACTTTATAATGATAAAAGCAATCAAAACCTTCTATGTGCAATGAAATATTATGTAGCTGTCAAAAATAATGATTAAACAGGAAATGCTCATGTTACGAGCAAGAAGAAAATCTAGCACGTAACATTACATATATGATGTGATCTTAACTGTGGCATAAAATCGCTAACAATACTGGAAAGATAAACATATTTTATTTAAAATATTTTTTCTTGAGTTATGGTATTATGGATGATGCTGTTCTTCAAATTTATTTTCTGCATTTTTCAACTTAAGAAGGAAAGACATGGTTGGATTTAATAGGAAGGAAGAAAAATATGTAATTTGGTTTTGAAGTGTTTCTTGGGCTCTAACACGTCTTAGCCTCTCATTGACTCCCTGCAGAGGAACTAGCTCTTGATGCAGAAGCTAAATTCAGTTACTGGCAAGAGTGGGGAGGGGAAACCCATGAACTTGAAGGATAAGAAAGAAGAGGGATCTGCCTCTCACAGCCCTGTGTGTACCTCAGATAAGGAATAATCTGGGGCACCTCGCTCTGCTAGTTTCTCAGACTCAGTTAAGAGCCAACAATGACTCAGGCAAAGGCAGGAGGGTGTCTCAGACAAAAGCACTTAAAAACCCATCTGTTGTTTGGGGGCCCTTTCCTTAGGGATGCTCACTGTTCCTCATCTCCCCTCCCATTCTGCCACACATCTACTGGAAGTTTCCTGCAGCTGGGACCCTGGCGATGCTAAGGCAAAGATGCTGCTTGTGTCCAGGGAAGAAGGAGCTCCAAATAATACAATGTATTAGAAATGATAGCCAAAGTGTGTCCAGAGAGCCAGGGATATGTCAGGGAGCAGCCTGCAAATGGCTCAAACTTCCTGGGAGGCAAAGAAATGGACCACGTGGGACACAGAAAAGATCACAAAGCAAACCCTGTGCCCAGGTAGCTCTAATGCACCTTTGGACAGCAATGGACATTTAATCAAATGAGAGGCGGAGGTTGGATAAGGGGTTCCCCAAGCGTGGCTCTGGGATCCCCAACACTGTATGTAAATTTGAGATAAACGTGCATTTTTTCTAAAGATAGGACAAAACCTTTCATTAGATTTTCGAATCAGGTGCCAATCTTTTAAGAAGTTAAGAAGCAATGGATTAAACTAATACCAAGGGGCCCTGGTAGTTCTAACAACATAAAATACCCGAGTCAACAACTTCAGCAATCGAAGCTGCTGTGCCTGAGGCTGTCCACTCCACAGGCAAACTGGATCTGGTGTTCTGTTCAGACCTGATGCACCAACACGGTGAACACACTGCTTCCAGCAGGCTCAGGCTATAGGCTTAGCATTAGAGAAAATTAGTACCTAGAAAATGAGTAACCAGATAGTCAACTTTCTGGCTTTCCTCACTAAACAAAGCACACAGTTTGGCATGCTGCAAATGACAGTGCAGTGACAGGAAACAAGAGGACCCATGCTTTCAAATCCTCTAGAGGAGATGAAAAGGCTTGACTGGCTGTGGGTGGGGGCAACCATTACTACACTGTAGGAGCATGACTTGCAACAGAGGGTCACAAGCACTCTCAACAGTTCGCAATGCCTGTAAGTAAGCCCCAGGGGAAGAAGCCTGGCTTTGTAAGTTATAGGACCCTGTCCTCCTAAGATGGGAAGGACATCACTCTGGTGCACACGTAGGGACCTCTCTGAGCCCAGGCTACACGACAACTTCTTCACGATTCTTCTAGCCTTAGGATTCTGTCATCAGGGGAAAGGATGACTCACCCTCAAAGTTACAGGCATGTAGCCAACCATCTCCTCACATGCATCTAGTCTTGCCGCCTAGGTCCGCAGCCCCTCATTATGTGGCTTTGAACAATTCATTTAATCTCTCCAGTCCCTCAGTTATCTCACCTGCAAAGTGAAGCGGCTGGAGGAGACAACACCAACGATTCTTCTATCTCTAAAAGTCTTTAATGTTATTACAAAGCCATTAAGATGAAAGAAGAAAAACAGACTAAAAGCATTCTGTGCGGGGACTCAGCATCTGTCTGAGTCTTGAAGAGATATATCTAAGAGCTGTGCCACAGGGAAGAAAAATGATTTTACAAAAGCACAAGTTGACACCGCCTGCCCACCTCCACCCCAGTCCTGCAGCCAAAAGGACTCCTCAGCTGTAACCCAAAGGCACCCAGTCAGTGCTGAGCCCTTCAAAGAGCAAAGGAGGTGGTCTAGGCTGTGAAAGGCAGGGCCCTAAAAAATGAGTGTGTGAGACACTCCACCAGCATAAGTTCTGCCAAGTACCCCCCAAGGCCTCAGTTTAGTCATCCAGAAAATGGGGGACAATAGGTGTGGTTCTGAGTTTGAACATTTCAAACTGATCATCTTATCAAGGGCTAAGTACAGTGAATAGGCATTGCATAGGTCGGGGTGGGGGACAAGCAGGGCAATTGTGGGTTCAGCTTCTGAGGCTGCACACAAGGATTTCTCCAGAGCTTTAACTGGAGACTTCACGTTTGTCTCAGGAGGGAGTGGAGCCCGGGAGCGGCCCGATGGACTCATCGCTGAGGGGCAGGGGGCCCCGGGCCCGCTCACCTGATGAAGGTGGTCTTCCCGGTGGAGTACTGGCCCACCAGCAGGACCATGGGCTTGTTGTCGAAATCAGCATCCTCCAGGGCGGGCGAGTGGAACTCGTGGAAGCGGTAATGCTCTTCCAGGGGCAGCAGTTTGGTCTTGTAGAGTTTCTTGAGCCCCTCGCTCACCGTCTGGAAGACCTCGGGGTCCTTCCTCCGGCGGTCGTCGGTGCCCAGCCAGCTGAACATCGCGGCGGCGGGAAAGGCCTCTCGGGGAAGTCGAGCGGCCGCTTCGCTTCACCTCACCGGAGCGCGGGGCTCGGCCGCACCATGGCCCGGGGGCGCTGCCTCGGCTGCCGGTTCCAAGCCAGCCCCTGCTTCACCCACAGCGCCGGCCCGGCAGAGGAGGACGGTGTGGACGGCGAGCAGACGCTTGCAATTAAACCGCCCGATGCCAGGTCGGCGCGGGGTCCGGGTCTCCCCGGCCCTCGCCTGCCGTGCTCGCGCGCCGGGGGCTCCGCGCTGGCCTGAGGCACTCAGGGCAGGCGGCGACACTGCCCACTCATCGGGCAGCTCCGCATGCGAAGCAGCATCCCGCAGTCCCAGACACGCGTTTAAATGCCAGCGGTGCAGGAAGCCGGCGCGTGTAGGAAGTCCCCGAGTACTGGCAAGGCCCGGCCGGTCCTACGCTGCGGGCGACGCGAAGCCGAGCAGGGCGCCGCCATGTCTATGGGCAGGCGATCGCCGGTCGAGCGGCCAGGGGCTGTGGCTCCAGGCCTGTGGGAAAGCGCTGACATTTCGGTGCCCGCCTCTGGGGGGTTGGTTTGGGAACAGCGCCCTCTCCGGGATAGCTGCTGTGAAGACAGCGTTGATCGGCTAAGGTACTGATCGCTGTTCCTGTTCCTGCTTTGAGATCTCTGTTCCTTTAGTTACTGAGGTCAGTTCCCTGGGAACTAGGGTATTTGGGAGTATTTTCCTTGCGATTTGGAAAAAGGATCCGATATCAGGTTACACAAAAATAACCAAAACTGTCACTAGCCAAACTTTTTGATAGGCTTGGGACGAAACAAAAAATGTTCCCATTCATTCTGGTAAAATGAAACAAAAGAAACAAATACCAAACAAACAACAAGAACAACAAACCTGATAAATATTGAGCAGTATTTTGGGATAGATACAATTTGAATGACAAAAGAGAGCATTATAAGACTCTTCTGGGCCAGGATTATAGCTCAGTGGCATGAACACCTGACCGGCAAACACAAGGTCCTAAATTCAAATCCCAGTACCAAAAAACAAAAACAAAAGCAAAACAAGCAAACAAAAAAACCTTCCAAGAGCTGTAGTCAAGGCAGGCTTTACAGACCCCAACAGGAGCAGAAGGCTGAGTCCTTCCTTTTGTGCTGATAATTTGATTCTGCTTCACAAAAAGCTTGCTGTGATGGGGATCTTCAGTGAGGAAACCACAGAAAAGAAATGAATTCATTCCAGGCTAAGCAGACGGCATTGGCAAAAGCCTGGGGAGTGGGAGAACTTGGTGTTTCCAAGTTTGGCCCAGCTGGAGCATCGGGTCTGGGAGGGTAGAAGAGGATGAACAAAGCCAGGCGTGGAGGCTGTGCATGCCAGGGCGAGAACCAAACGAGGGATGAGAATCCATAACAATATTCTTAATAATAGCGGTTTTAGTAACAGAATGCTTGCTATGTGCAGACACCTAAGATTTCTGAGAGCATTGTTTCTTCACTGGGAGGCACAGATTATCATCTCCAGCAGCATAGCAAGGAGAATCCGTGGAGCAATGCTCAGCAATAGGCAAAAAGGGATGCCTTCCCTGTAGAAAGTTTAAACACTATAACCAATCGACTCAAAGACTGCTTTGCAGTAGCACCATTCTGAGCAGTATGGTGAGAAACCACTCCTCTTCACCAAGGAAAAGGGCTCCACTGCCCTCCCTTAAGCCTACAAGGAGGCACATGTCTAATGGACCAGTGGGACTGATGAGACTGAGGCAGGGCAAGGAGGAATTGCAGGAGCAAAGGACCCAAGCTAAGAGCCTGAGTTAGGAACCTACGGGGACCATAGCAATGCAAATGGAGAAGAAGTTCGATGTAAGAGATCCCATGGCATAGCATTGATGCACAATAAAAGAGGAACTGAGAATGAGGCAGAGCTGGGGATGATTGCAAATTTTCTACTGCAGAAGTCAAGACATTTGGGGCCTTGTTTCCCCTAACTGGAAAGTCAGAAAGGGCAGATTTAGCAGAGCGATGATGCATTCAGGTTGAAATGTATTGCAGTTCAGTGCCTGCGGCAGCTGCAGGTAGGGGCAGGCTGCTGGGATTTCCCTGGGGCTCTTCAGCGGGAAGTCCTTAATGGAATCTCCTTAGTTACAACACAGGTGTCCTGACTCCATCTTCGAACCCCAAAGCTGATCCTGTTTCTGGGCTCTGTGTGCCCCTAGCTGAGAAACCACTCTGATTTAGATGGCACCACTGGTGTTTTACACAAAGGAGGCTAAGAGGTGATCTTACAGATATTTAACTCACGCGGCATGGCAATTGGATAACACTAGCCTTCTTGGCTTGAGGAACGCCTGAGCCCTGCGCTGTCCTGGGTGTGGCTAGGGTGGCAGAAGGGAATGGGGGAGGCTCTATTATAGAAATGTTTCAATATATTTTAAAATCTGAATAGATATTCTGTTTTGTACCACTGAATGCCGGCTCTAAACATCTGATTTGACCAGGGCCTATAGTCATCCATCCATTCTCAACTTTGAATAGTTAGAAATCTGCCCTCTTAGGGGACTAAAAAATACCATTCAAGGAAGTAGTATCCTTAAGGAACAAAGAAAGTACAATGGGACTTAGGGGTGGGTACATGGACACCTTTAACTGTATTTGCAGCGTTTTGTTTCTTAAATTAGATAATGGTTACTTACCTTTCATTTATTATTCTCTCTGTCCTATATATGTATGTAATTTCTGGTCTTTAGATGCACAAAACTGGATTTTTTTTTCAAATCATGGTTCAAAACAAACTATACCTGGCTTTTTAATGTTTCTTTTCTTTTTAAAATAACATAATGAACTCCTAGTGAACTCATCATCCGATCTAAAAACTGGAGAAATTAGCAATAATTTACATCTGCCTGTGGGGTCCTCTCTGTCCTGTTCGTCCTGTTCCCTGCCCCTCTCCACTCTTGGAGGGACCCCCTATCCTGATAGTGAATATTATTATGACTTTTAAACTGATACTATCACATATATAGTTAAGCCTGGAAACTATCTTGTGGAGTCTGGTGTTTGGGGACTTTATGGAACGCATGTCCCGCTGTGTGTACTTCCCCGTAATGCGACTTCTCTGTCACCCATGGTTTTGCTAGCAGTCTGTTTCCAACCTCTCTTCCCTCCTCCTGGCTTCTGTGCTGGCAGGGCTTCTCTCAGGCCCCTGTGCACTGTCACCAAACTGCACAGAGCAGGGGAAAGCAGCTTTGCTCTTAAATCTCAGCTCCCTGGTCTCTGCAACAAAAATGGTGACAGCATTTTTCAGGATTAAAGGTCACAGTGTATGCAGCATGCTTGACACAGTGCCAAGTCCACTGACAGCACTCAATATATTGTTAGCTCTTAATATTATAATCACTGTTACTGTTATTCACTACACGGTGCTGCCCTGAATCCTGCTTAATAAGCTATTTAATAGGCTACTGCAGAAGGTTAATACTTAACAATATCAATATTTAATCAGCTAAATAATAAGCTTCCATCTAATAAGTTAGACAGTAGTTCCTTCCAGTTCATACGTATCCTGAGGGGGACTCACGGGCTCAATGGAATATAATTGCTAACTGTGGAATCTGCAACAGCTGGCATTTGTCATCCCTCTCTGGGAATGTCACCTTGAAACAGAGGCTTTCTCCTCTCTCTCCCTTCTCACCAAGATCACAAAGGTCTGGGCAAAAGGAAGAGATGAGCCCTGTAGTGACAATCTAGGATGAAAGCTTGAGCCACAAGGAGAGGTGAGAGGATTCAGGAAGGGTCCATCAGGCGGGGCTTACTGTCCACACTCAGGGCAATCAAGGTGCTTCCCTACCTGCTCCTGAAAACTAGAGCCTTTCATGTCCTTCCACGCAGGCCCTGGAGCAGGCTCCTGCCACCAGTGTCCATGGACTCTGTTCCAGCACCCTACCCCCAGGGCACACCCACTGGTCCACACCCTCCATCCTGAGGAGCTGAGGTAGCCATTCTCTCCTAAGAGTAAGGTGCTCCCTTCTTTCTGCTCCAATGTGAAGGCTCCATGCCCTTCACATCAACTTTGTTACTACATTTATTACACTTTGCTATCAGTATGTGTTGAAATTATTTGCCTCCCCACTGGATAAGGCACATCTTCAGCACACTTCTGCATTTTACTCGTTTTATTGATCTCAGTTGGAAGGGAAAGTGGATCAGCTCAGTAAGTTTGGACCGTGGAGACTCAGCCTGAGTTATTATTGCCTTAGTCCATTTGTGCTGCTACCATAGAGTACCTGAGACTGGGTAATTTATAACGAACAGGAATTTATTGGCTTGAGGCTGAAGAGGCTGGCAAGCTCCAGATGGAGGGGCAGCTGTCTGAGGAGGACTTCCTGCTGCATTAGCCATCACATAAGGGCGAGGAGAGTGAGAGAGAAAAGATTAAAGTCCTCTTATAATCGGCATCAGTCCGAACTATGTCCACCACCAATCGCTGTTGCACTGGAGATTAAATTTCCAAAGCAGGCTTTTTTGGAGCACACATTCTGGGCATATCAATTATTTAATCTCTTTTAATGAAAATGCCCTCCCATGTGAAACCAGGCCTAAGCATGAATAATATTTCACCATGTATTGTGGGGATGAAACAAAATGTGTTTGATCAAGGACCTATTTTTTTTAATATCTACAGTAAGTTTTCAATAAATCATTCCCTCAAATGAATGAATTCTGTACATACACAAGAGAAGGGAAGCTTAGAATAAAAATTTAAAAATGAGGAAATTGTGCTCAGGAAGTTTATAAACTGGAAAGGAGATAGAGAAAGAAAATCAGTCTGAGTGTAGTGTCCAGTTATCCAGGAGTAATATTTCCAACCAAATCACTATTATATCTCCTTCATGGCTGGAGCCTGGCTCTCTCCTACACACAGCTGTCCAGGCAGAAAGATAGTCATTTCCCCAGGTGTGGCAGGAGCAGAGCTAACCGAGATACCCATCATTTCCAGAAGAAAAGCACATACTACAGGAGGCCGTAATGTGCTTATGTATGTGCCTAATTTTACTAAACGCCTCCTCAGAAATTTATTTTCTCCTAATTTTTTTGTAATTTTTCTATGACTTTAAATTTTACACATGACCTTTAAATTCATCATCTTTTACAAATAAATTTGCGGGGTGGTAATCTATTTGAAACAATTTCCAGATTCTTTACTAGTTCTTTTTCGATGAGCTCAGTTTTCTTCCCAAGAACCTCCACTCCCGAAAGTAGGACATTTGTAACCTGCAAGACACAGGAGCTCTACTTAGAAAACTTCCTCCTCCCCTCCCCTCCCCTCCCCTCCCCTCCCCTCCCCTCCTCTCCCCTCCCCTCCCCTCCTCTCCCCT